GCAAAAACCTCTCAAAAAAAAAAAAAAAAGATTCACACATTTCAAGTATATAGTCGTTTTTAGTTGTCATGCATTTTTAAGTGGCTACAGTTCAAATTCCCAGCTAATCAATTTAATTTGGAGGAAGAAAATTAAGAGATATGTAATAAAATAGGATGAGACACTGATGGGGTTTAGTTTACACTTTATAAACTATCAGAAGGAAATCCTGAATTGATGTCACAAGTAAATACATAAACCATTGCTGAATATAATTCAGAAGCCAATCTCAAATGACACTTCTTTTTTTTTTTTTGAGAGGTTTTTGGCATAGGGCGTGTGCACTCGCCAGACAGAGAGACAGAGAGACAGAAAGTGAGAAATCACCCCCCAGGGGGGATGGCCATGCCCCAATCCCTTTTCCTCCATTCTCCTCTCGGGATCTTGGGCACACACACACACGTGCGCCCAGCGTGAGTTTCAAGGCACCAGGTCCGGGACGTGAACTGCAGTCGACTACATAGGAGTCCAGCGACATAGCCATTACGCTAACTGCTGGTCCCTCAAATGACTCTTCACTGATGAATGGACACATAACCCTTACCCCCTACTTCACAATTCCATGATAGTCTCTCTAGAGTTTGGAAATATTTACAAACATAGAAAAATTCTGATTTTTCACCATCTTTTAGATGAAACTTCTCAGGAGGCTTCTGGAGTGACACAACCGGAGGTGAGTATCTCCCAAGTCTAAAGGGTCAGGTAACCTTTGTCCTCTGGATGTGAATATTGGTTAGAGCAAAAGAATCCCTTTCCTCCTCTATCACAACGACTAATGTAGCATCCGTGGCTTATTAATACTTAAAATTACGAGGCACAGTGGTTAAGGCACTAGACTCCCACATGGCTGATCACGGTCCAAGTCTCAGACCCAGTGGCTTGAGTTTCAGGCACATGTGCATGCATGTCCCGAATCCCAGGAAGAGAACCAAGGAGAAGGGATTGTGGCATGGCCATCCACCCAAGGGGTGATTTCTCGCTTTTTGTTTCTTGGTCTCTGGCAAGCACACTCACCCTATAGCAAAAAAAAAAAAAAAAAAGTCTCAAAAAAACCCACTTAAAATTTTGATAGTTAGTATTTCTTTTGTTCTCATAGCGGTGCCAGATATTTTAAGCAAGTCACATGGATTAATTTAAGAAAATCTCCATGATGTTTTTATTATTAATTCTAAATAATGAGGAGGATATCACTATAACTAATAATAATAATAATAATAATAAAAGATGAGGATATTGCAGTCCAGAGATGTCAGTTGGCAGTGGATGTGGTAGCCTTGTCCAGAGCCCCAAGCTGTTTCATAGCTCATTCACATTTTCATTTGTTTATTAATGAAATTCAGGCTATGCCCTTTAGGGCTTTACCCCACAGAGCCTATTGATGCTTGCGCTTAGACACCCACCCTCACAACTAGTAAGTACTAGCCAGCCTCTGCTCTGTCCTAGGGCCACTATGCCTGGGGCATCTCTGAAGCACCAGTCCCAGCCAAGGCAAATCCTCAAAGACACCTGAATGTGTGTTGAATGAGTGAGTCCACAATTGCAGGTTCCAATCTAGCTTAGAGGGTAAAAGAAGCTGGCAGTGTCTTACTCAAATAAGAAGCATGAGAGAAAGTATTAATTTTTATTATAATTAATAAAATAATAGGCTGTGTCCAGGCTCGAACCATGGTCAGCCATGTGGGAGATCAGGGCCCTGACCAACATGCCACCTGCTGCCCCCCCCTTTGCATGTTTTTACATTCCCTCACCTAACAGCTGTCTACAAGCCTAAACATGATCCCTTCTATTTTATAGAAGCCCTTCTTTTCATAGACCTCCTAGTGGATTCTTAGAATGCTGTTCTTCAGCAACTCTGTAACTCATAATCACAGAGATTTTTTTAAGGTTTGCGAGAATGTCAGTCTGGAGGAACCCATAAATGGCGTAATGGTTATGTCACTGGACTTCCTCTTAAGTTGACTGCAGTTCAAGTCCTAGACCTGAAACTCATGCTGGCTGCATGTGCATGCATGCCCAAAATCCTGAGAGGAGAATGGAAGAGAAGGGATTGCAGCATGGCCATCCCCCTTGAGGGTGATTTCTCACCTTTATGTCTTGCTGTCTCTCTCTCTCCAGAAAATGCACACACCCTATATCAAAAAATCTCTCTCTCTCTCTTAAAAAAAAAAAAAAGAATGCCAGTCTGGAGTGTGAAGATGAGCATTCTAGTCCTGAAAACACAATTCATTTAGGCCATTCCTTTCCCTTCTCATAATTTAGGTTTCTCATAAGTTAGGTTTCAATAATGTAGTGATCTCCCAGAATTATTGAGAACAATAATTAAGGTAATGTTTGTAAAGACACTTTGTAAGCTCTAAAGCACCAGAGAAATATGCTTGTTACTGTTTACATGTGATCTTCACATTAAGATGACACTTGAGAATCCAACAATGGAAGAAAATGATTTGAAGGCAGTGCCAGAAACATCTGGCTCCGAAAATACTGAGGAGGAGTTGTCCGCCCCGGAAAAAGAAAGTACCTCTGAGCTGCAGAATGCAAAACCATCAGGTGAGAGAAATTGATAAGTGACCAACTCCTCTGGTTTCTGACTTCCCTGGCTGTGTTCAAGTGTGTAGCCGAGGATATGCATGCTCCCTAGACAAGCCTTGGACCCACATGAGCTGAAGAGCTTAGCAAGCACCAGCTGGGACTTTAGGACATGACTTCCAGAGTCTGGAACTTGAGTATCATATATATATAAGCCATGTGACTTTGAGCAAGTCTTCTAAATTCTCTGAGATTCCTAGTCCATAAAATGGAAATAATCATAGTTCATAAATTGTTTGAAAGTATTAAATTAATCTATAAGACCTGACATGAAACTTACTCAAGTAATTCCATCCTGGGAACTTACTGTTCTCAGAGTAGTATCCTCAGACCTCAGTTCAGGGCCTCAGCACAATATGCCCTTAAAGAAAATGAAAGAAGGTACAAGTGAATTTTCTGGTAAATGAAAAGCTTAGGAATCTGAACCTGACAATGGGAGGAGCCAGAAGTTAAAACATCAACTGGCATTTGGTCTATAGTGATGTCAGTCTAGAGTAGCAGCCTCACTGAGCCAGAAGATGTGAAAAGCAGAGGATGTAAAAGGCCTATGGGCACTTGGGAGTGAGGAGACATTTCTTTTTCTGATGAACCAGGGCTTAACACTCCCCAACCCACCCGACTCTCATTTACTAATTCTTTTCTATCATAGGGCCCGAGGAAAAGGAGAAGAGTATCTGGGCCCACAGGTTGAGGGAGAGAAAGAATCCAGTAGTGTATGAAGAGATCAGTGACCCCGAAGAAGAGGACTAACTCCGTAAGTGATCCTCTGGTCCATCCCCGCACGGTATCGCATCATGTTGTTTGCTCCCCAAATCATTCCTTTTGCCTAATCCCTTAGGGTGTAGCACTAAGATTAAATGATGAGATTTCTCATGCTCTTCTACTCCCTGCTGTGTATATCCAGGGATCTTTCCTATCCAGGATGTTGTAGGCTCCCAGACCCTAGGTCAGCTCCTGGTATGCAGAACACATTTTCTTCTAGCTTATAGTACAAGCGAGGAAGTCATTGTGGCAAGGGCAGTGGGAGGTGCATGTAGGTGCAGGGGTCAGGCAGAATCACAGTGCATGGGGTCTGCAGGTCAGGAGGAGGAGTTGGGGATCTAATTTTCAGGCAGAGGGAACTCATTTTCGCTTGTTTTCCTTCTCTCTCCTTGCCTCAACCTCAAGGTGTGTGACATGCCCGTGATGAGAAGAAAAACCTGGTGGCCTTTCACACATACACACGGGCATGACTATCAACTCCTGGCTACCAGATATACAGCAAGTGAAGAGTTCATAACACTGAAATATTAAGCATTAGTTCTCTCCTTATGTTAGATGTTAGTTAGATATTAGTGTTTCATTGATGAGCAAGATATATGTCTAACGCATATTTCTGCCTGTATCCATGCACCTGCCTCAGAAAATAAATATTGTCAGATATTCTCTGCACAGAACAGCACTATCCACTCCTCCGTATGTCATCACCAATGGCAGTTCTGGGTGTTTAAGAGCATCTACCACCTGCTTTTCCCCATTACCAATATGTCCCAGAAAAAATCCTGCTTGTTCTGTTGCCTTTCAATATATGTTTCATGCTGACAAACTATACCATTCTATTAACATGCATTAGTCACTGAAAATTAATTAATTGTTGCAAAAATTTCCCAGTTGTTTGTGCCTCTTGTTCTTTTTTTTTTAAGTTTATTATTATTTGATTTGTCCAGAGAGACAGGGAGAAAGAGTAGGAGAGTAAGAAAGCAAGCCTCCAGATCTGGGACTCAAACCACAGTCAATCACATGGGAGTCCAGTGCCTTAACCATCACACCACATGTCAGCCTCTGTATCTCTCATTCTTGTGCACACAGATTTTTGCATGTGTACAAGTGTGGTTTGTTTTTGTTTTTAGTTTTTGTTCCAGGATGTGTATGCTCACTGGGAGGAGGGGAGAGAGAGAAAGTGAGAAATCACCCCCCAGGTTGATGGCCAGGCCACAGACCCTTCTTCTACAGTCTCCTTGGGCTTTGGGGCATACACACATATGCACCTGGCATGATTTTCAGGCTGCCAGGTCCGGGACTCAAACTGCGTACTCAGCCTATGAGGGATCCAGTGCCTTAACCTCCACACCACCTGCAAGTGTTTCTTTATATATGTGTGTGTGTTGTGTATATATATATATACACAATACACACATATATTTTTTTTTATTTTTTAAATTTTTTATATTTGGTCACTAAAAATCACTTAGCTTGTAAGTTAAATTTACCCAACATGAACACACTTCACATCAGTCCAGTTGAGTATACAAAACACGTTATCATTAACAGATAATAGTCCAGGACCAGCAGTTGGCATAATGGCTATGTTGCTGGACTCCCACATAGTTGACAGCAGTTCAAGTCCCGGACCCGGTGGCTTAAACTCACACTGGGCACGTGTGCGTGCATGCCCAAGATCCCGAAAGGAGAATGGAAGAGAAGGGATTGTGACTTGGCCATCCACCCTGAGGGGTGATTTCTCGCTTTCTGTCTCTCTGTCTCTGTCTTTCTGGCGAGCACACGCCCCCTATAGCCAAAAACCTCTGAAAAAAAAAAATAGATAATAGTCCGTTTCTGTATCCCATAAATGTCTTGCCTCTCTATTTTTCTCCTTGATTTCTTTCCTTACACTCTCCCCCATCTTCCACCCTCTTCCCACGTTATTTCCAGTACCCATAACCATTTTCCATGTTTCTATGTCCTCTAACCTTTCAGTTTCTTGAGGGCAAATTCTTATTACTGTATAGAGCGCTGTCCTAGGTACTGGAGAGACATCAGGGAATGAAGCAGGCAAGTGCTGCCTGGCCCATGTAGAGTTGGTGTTCTATTGGAGGCTGCTTCCAGTTTTTTATAGAAACTGTACATGCCAATTGTGGAACAATATTCTGCAGTAGGTGATTAGATGCCTTGGCCTTTGCTCTCTAAATGATCTTCAGGGTCAAAGGCTGTGGTGGTCCATTTGGGAGTATGTGGGAGGAAACAGAAAACTGTCAACTGGGAAATGTAGAAGGATAGAGACAGAACATCCACCGTGGACCATGTGGTGGACAAGAGTAGAAGAGACCATTTAGTCCTGATTCAGAGGACCAACAGATGGAAAAGTCCGCTGGACACAGGTATGAGGCTGCCCATCAAGGTTCTCAAGACCAGGGGTTTGGGAACTGAGGTGGGGAATGAAGGTTTGGGAATAAGACATTCCTGTAGCAGATACACCATTGTGGGTGCAGAGATGGAACAATTAGCTCCAAGGAAGGAAAGAGGTGAGTCTATTTGGGAACAAACCATCATATGTGTTGGACATTAATGCCATGAATGGATGTGAAATATCAACCTCAGTTGAAGGAGGGACTGGAGCTGTTTTGACAGCCCAAGGCCCATTGCCATAGTCCTCTGGCTTCCATCTAGCCTTGAAAAGCAGACATCATCGTCATTATACCCATATGATAGATAAGAGATGGAGACTTAGACAAATGTCAGACCTCCTATGAGGTGGCATGCAGAAGAGGCTGGATTTGGAACTCACTGTAATTTTGGAGACATTAAGGGGGGCTGATGTGTC